TTTTGAAAAGCATTTCCAGTGACCCGCAAAGCTCCAAGAATCTCTTCTTTTCGGAGCAAAACTTTCCATTTTATTGCACAAACAAGGCCGGTATAGAGGTTTCGATGATAAGGGAACGTCGGGATGAGTTTGCAACGGCTCCTCACAGTTTGAGATGGGTAAGAAATGAAACAATGGGATTTTTAATGAATATGTGAGTGACACAGTCCCGTTCAGAAGGAGGAAAGTTGTCAGTGTGACAAAGGTCACTCTCAGGTCAGAACCATGTGGAAAGATTTTGACATGAGTAAATCACTACGACCTCAATGTTATTTAGGGGTTTGACAAATATAAAATGAAGTGAATATGTGAACTCCTTACTGAAAAACTCGTCCGACTTGAAAAAACGGCATGGCAAATGCGATCTGATTGGCTGGATTAGTCATCATGCATTATTAATTGACCATTGTGTCGAGGGTCATTGTTTCAGGTTTGGAACTGAGATAAACAACAACATAAGCCTGATGAATCAACTGGAGATTTTCAGCCGGGAAATTTCTGAGTTATTCAGTCTCACAAGGTAATTATCGCATTCCTATTCTATTTGTGGGGTACATTTTCATAGCAAATCATCTTCTACGATAAGGATTACTTGAAACGTTGCAAAACTTGCGGTTGATCAGAAGCGCATCGACTGAATTATTATATTCATCTAACAGGATCTTCTTGCCCCTGGTCGACCAGTTCAACTATCACGATTCTCATCTGGTCCCTTACTTGTAACGTCGGCTCTCCAGCCCTCCAAGTTAGGGGGCAACCCCAACTCGGCAGACAGAATTAAGTGGGCGAACAGATTGCGGGAACTGAATATCTCGGTTGACGGGAAAGTGAAGTCCCGAAACAAATGTCGACCAACAACTAAGGAAATCTGTTAAGTCCTGGGATGCATTGGATATACACCGGCTATAGCGGCGCAGATTTGAATAAATGTCAATTGGCATTTTGAGTAGTGAATTCGAGTTAATGATCAGCTGAGTAAACAAAATTTTGTGTGGCAGGCTCATGGTACCACCGTAACCCATCCTCATGCGAACAAGTGACAAACCCACGGAGCCGTGTATGCGCATCCCGATGAAGGCTATACGACCTGTACATCGTTACATGTTACCAGATGGCCCACTATGTCAGAATTGCCTCCCAGATCAATAGAAGAATTAGCTGTCGTCTGCGGCCATTGAGGTTGTTTCCTGAGGTTGTCAGTAGCACGCTAAGCTGACTAGACAATCCCAAGTAAGTTTCCTTCCGCATGAATGGCATGCAACTCGGCCGAGATGCGTCTCTGTTGCGGAACCTCCCGATTTTTTGCGGGTTTTGGATGCACCTTAATCCAAAACAGGTCAAGCATGCCTTTCAAGTTCACTTGTTTCGTTGCTTTCCGGGCAGTGTATGTTGAGGGCAATTTTCTAAAACAATCAATCGAGAGCGATTTGAATGTTGCCTCAACAATACACTATATTTGTCGACAACCAACTGTTCAATAACCTATCGAAGATTTCATCAAAGAGAATCGAGTTTCGTACGCCAACAGACTTTGGCCCCATCCGCGATACTTATGCTCGATAGCAATATTTCTGAAGAATACTTAGTAGTGTCAAAAAGTAGGGTGAATCGGTAAAGACTAAGCGTGATAAAAACATTGATGGGAGCTGTGGTAGTCCCATTGTTTATTCCTTTCTCACGCAAGGAAGAGTGAAACTTCTCTTCTGGAGTCAAGTGAAAATACCTTTCAAATGTGTTAAACAGCTGAGGACTCGGACCACATGACCAATATGTTGAGATTTCATCCAGGGTCGATTCAGTGAGTTAATCACATGTCGAACAAAAAAGCGGACGCGCAGGAATTCGTTCAGCAACACAGACGGACAATCGATATATTTTGTATTGTTGATGAAGATTGATACTTAGGCACATTTCTAGATCGATACAATACGGTTCTCATTTACATTCACCCGAACAACGGTAAGTTGTGAATTACTGGTTTGGTTGATCATGCTTCTTTGTGCCTCTTGAAATAAAATAAGGCACCGTCAAGAATGAAAAACAAGAGCAGAGGTTTTTGATATGTGCTATGGAAAAGCCTGCCAGCATCTCACTGCCTTGGCAAGCATTCCCCTCAGATTTCAACCTTATCTAGACAGCAAATATTTGAAAACTGAGATACTACTCATCCATGACTACGATTAGTCGCCCGTACCTGATATCGTTTAACTGAATGTTAAGTGCAAAGGATGTCCTGGAATTCAGTTGGACAGAATAAGTGTTATACGAACCCAATAGTCTCCTCTCAATAATGTCAATGTGTGATGACCGTTCCAGGGGGAGATGGTTTCAGCGAGCTCTGAAATCTACCATGAGATGCCCTCATTAGGTGGGACACCTCAGAAAAGCAACAAGAAACACACCTCTTCAGTAAGAGATGCTTGTTGCCTTTGGTAAATAGCTGCGCTTTTTCACTGTACCAGTTAGTACATTAGATTAGGGGCAAGATTGCTCCAACTTACTGGACCACGTCTACTCGCTGGCCTCCCAACACAGTGTTATTCTTTGGTAATTGATCAGGTGGCTGTTGATCTGTTCGCCGAGCTGGGCAATTGAATTGCAAACGTTTCGTCACCATTCGAGGAGACATCTTCAGTGCGCTGTGAAGCAAATCAATTGCCCAGCTCGGCGAACAGATCAACAGCCACCTGATCAATTACCAAAGAATAACACTGTGTTGGGAGGCCAGCGAGTAGACGTGGTCCAGTAAGTTGGAGCAATCTTGCCCCTAATCTAATGTACTAACTGGTACAGTGAAAAAGCGCAGCTATTTACCAAAGGCAACAAGCATCTCTTACTGAAGAGGTGTGTTTCTTGTTGCTTTTCTGAGGTGTCCCACCTAATGAGGGCATCTCATGGTAGATTTCAGAGCTCGCTGAAACCATCTCCCCCTGGAACGGTCATCACACATTGACATTATTGAGAGGAGACTATTGGGTTCGTATAACACTTGAACTCGGCTTTAGTGAACTTTTCAGATTAGACACGCTTATTTTGACCACTTGAAGCCCTCACAAATCTCGTCAGTAATTTGTCAGACATCCGCCTCGTGTGACAGCTAAGTGACAAACATAGGTTAGGCGACCCACTGGCATGCGTCATCCGCAGTCGCCAGCTCAATAGGTGACATTGCGTTCACAACAGTGCCCCTATCTTGGCCAATATCCCACAAGCTCTTGCATTTGGTCGGAAAAGCCCTTGCGTACTCAGCTGCCATCTAAGTTCAGGTGTGCTCATTTCCCATTCGAAAATCCACAGTCGTGGGCGACCGTGATTAGCTTTACTAATTATGTGCACTACATCAGATGTTCAGTGGAAACTTCTGCAGAAGGCACCCAAATATGGCGTACATCGGACCGAGTTGCTTGATATGCTTGTTAAAAATGCAATGCTACGTCATGTCACAGTTGGCTGAAGAATGTAACATGGTAACTAATGTGTGCAGCTCAACCTTGATAGAGCGAAAGCCTTTAGAAATAGAAACAGAAACACCGGAACCTTTGGCTGTTAGAAACAAGGCCTGTTCATTGACACGTTTGAGTCGCCAGAAATTCACACACTAAAGACTACGCTGAATGAAAGCGAGGTCAGCACGTGTTTCTCAGAACTGCACAGACGCCGGATTAATGTGTGCTCATTCCGCTGGCAATCGCGAACAACGAAGTTCGGTTGCTTACACATTCACAGGAAGGCGTGCACAAAGTGTCATGGTGTGCCTATCAACTCACTCATGGATTACTCTAATCAAACTGCGCAGTTTAGTAGCTAGAATCTGTTGCCAACCGCTAATTCATCAATTTCATGAGGTCGGATTACCAAAGTCACTTGTGCTGTCAAGTTAAACAGGCACTGAAAAAAGCTTGAGCAGAAACTCCACATTTTCGGTATTCAGAACAAACCATCCTAATAAAGAGAAGCTCAAAGCTGAACCGATTCATTGCTAGCGCAACCAAAGCCAATCAGGTCAAACGATGGCCACGTGACGGTGGGATCTGTTTTGATGAGCTGCAACCTATGCACAAACCCGAGTTTCGGATAAATGGCTGACAAATTACGACTGTTGTACAGGAAGCGCAGAGAATAGGACGTCGTGGGCGGATGAATACAGGTTTTGGATGGATTCACAGGATAATTTCAAGCTGTTCATTCACTCCACCGTTAAGACAGCTTAACTATGCTCCAGACTTTTCTGTCGTGCCACGAACAGACAAGAAATCGGTCCGACTGACATTGGGGAACAGACTATGTAGGTGGTGCGAACCAATGGAAGCCATGGATAACAATGCATGTTACCACGAAGAACTGCTGGTGAATTCCCGATTTTTTTACCTGAGCAGCTAGAATACCATGCTTAGTGACAAACCGGCAGTCTCAGTAAGCCCTGTACTTCCTTATAGAGAGCAACGGTTGCATTCCAGTTATGGTGGTTGGTGGGCTATACCTCCTCACACGGACCAGTATTTTCCATTACTTCTTGGTATTCAAAATAAACGGTAATAAATTCGACAACAAAGATGGCAGTGGACCTTTATAGAACAGAGCGGGTGTGCACACTACGGTGACGCTACTAGACACTTCATTGTTATGATTGCTACTCAGCTGCTCACGCATTTCCGCACAGATTCAATTGTTTTCAGTGTAGAAGAGCCAAATCCAAATCCATAGACGAGGAGCTCAGTTGCACAACGGCAAAAATTGACGGGATATATGCGAGAGTGAGCCACATGACTTTATACAATAACCGTAGATTTCATCATGACTACAACACCGTAGGTTTTTCGACTGTTTGGAACTTTAGATATTCGGTTGCTTATCCGACCTACTTGTTGGTCCCGCGACTAACCCAATTTATTGGGGGAGTATCCGTTACCTGATCACGCAGTGACACTTCGGTTCCCAAGCAAATATAGCAACCGCATAGGACGGAATGGGTTATCATTTAGGCAAGGTAAAAACAATTTCGGTGGTCTATGTACAGACAAGTCAGAAAGGACAGTGGACGGAAAGGTAGAAAAAGAAAAAAACAGTGTGCACCAGTTAAAATGGATAACCGCAAGTAGAGAAACATGTACAAATGATAAATATTTGCGTACGGGGGGCACTAAAAAACAGAGAATCATACCCAACAGAAGCAGGGAAACTTTCGATAAAATGAGGGGCGACATCTGAGGGACGAAGAGAAGAAAGGGAAATGCGCGCAAAGTCTGACAAGCCGATGGATTGAGATGAGTGATTATACAGGCAGGTCTCCCCAAAATATGGACGACCGAAAAGAAAGCGGTGATACTATAAGTGAGTGAGTGGTTGGTCATCCAACGGAAGATCTGCTATTGCACGCTTACAAATGTGAAAGCGGCGTGCACTTGTTTGCTTTCTGTAACTTGTTGTGAGCTGAGCATACGCTCATGCAAAATAGTTGACATATCGCCATGGGAGTAGACAAGGTGAGGGACCTGGGTGGAGATCAATTTAGTGCATAACTCGCGGCTGGTGAACATCAAAGACCCACCTCCTGATTAGCCGCGATAAACTGTTGCTGCTGCGTTGATTGTTGTTGCTTTATCCCTGAGAGATTACCACTACCGGAAACGTTAGAGGTAGATGTCGGGCGAGTATAAGACATTTGAGCATTGTGTGTAGGGGCTGGTGGGGTGATGTTGGAAACAGCAACTCTTGATAACCCACTGACGGGGTTACGCTCAACGACTAAACCGGGTTGAGGTCGACGTGTTACGGTTGACGCTAGTTGTTGCTGCTGCTGTCCGAGAGGACGGATGAAGGGCTGTAAAGCTTGTGGCCCTAAAGGATTAGGGCCATGTCGGCGAGGAAGGGTGGCGCCAAGAGCTTGGTTTACCCCATTTGAATAAGGGACGCAGCTGGAAAGTAACTGTTGCTGTTGTTGTTGGATTAGGGGACCTCGGTGGCCCATCCCAGCAGAGTTGGTTGTCAGGACTCCAGAGACCGTGCTTCCTCCCCCTGTCTGTATCACAGTGGACTGAGTTGGGGAAGCTGTGGGAAAAATATTGGGATAGAAGTCAACAAAGAAATTTTACGGCGTAAGACAAAGACATGGGGGGTGGAGCAAAAAGGCATGAACAGGATGCTTTTACAAACAAGTAAAAGGAAACGAACCAAGTGGTTAACAACGGAGTCATGATGACTGTAACACAATCTAGCATTCGATAACCTTGATCCTCGGATAATGAGTGTATTAACATGTCACCGGACCCGTATAGACTAAGCTCACATATTATCATTAGTCACGCGAATATTTACGAAAACAGAACTTGATACGATGGTGCCTCTTCAGAGGTAACTCTCCAAGGAGTTGGATCAAATGGTCCTGTCTAAATCCTATTGTGCTCACGGGAGATGGGACGTTTCCCAAGTATATATATATATATATATATATATATATATAAGCCTGAGAACGGACTAAGTGGCAAACAGACC